ATTTTGTTAATATGTGTGTATATATTATGTATTAATAGATTTGATTACATGCGAGAAAATTTGCTGCAAAAGGCATTAAAATCGATAATTATTTTCATGTTTATTGAGATTAGAGAGAGAGAGAGAAATTGGATTCATTTGAATTGGAAATATTGTCAAAACATAACCCAATATTCAAAACCCTTAATAATATATGCTATTTTCATACGTATAACAGCAGGCGTTGTGAATATTCACATACGTATACAGAATATCCTGATATATATTGTAGAATATTTGAAGTGAAAATAAAATAAATAAATAAAAATATAAATTTTCTAATAAAGTCATACCATATATACAAACACATAGACAGATAAATAGGGATAGTTTTGGCGGATAAATATTCTCTATGTATATAACGATTGGGTTTATATTTGCGAGAAATGAATATTTTTGTCAATCGCTTCTGTATTTCGCACATATTTTTACGCAAACATCAGAGAGAGAGAGAGAGAGAGAGGATGGAGAGCAAGAGATAGTGTATTGAATGAAAGGTTTTATGTAAGAGAAATAATTTTCTCGCAAATACTGAACGTCTAAACACTGTATACTCTCTTTAATCTCAATAAACATAAAAATAATTATCGATTTTAACGCCTTTTGCAGCAAATTTTGTCTCATGTAATCAAATCTATTAATACATAATATATACACACATATTAACAAAATATTCGTTATAATGAACACAGAATATTAATATACAAAATTATTTATACCAAGATTTTAACTAACATTTAATGAACACATTTTTGTACATAATTTATATCATGTATGAAAATATCCCAAACGATATTAAAAATTTCAAACTCTCGACTCAACTCAAGTGAATCGTTGAATAAAATTAATACAAATTAATTCATTTATAATAAATATATTGCATATAATAATCATTATAATGAACGGTAATATTCAGTCCGAAATATACAGTGAATTATAATAATACACAGAAAAATGTATATTAATAATAACAATAATTATTATATAATGATTTATTCACATCGAGAGTAATTTCAATCACATATTAATGATAATCAGTGCACAGAAATTGTATTACAAATTAATGGATGATGATAATTTTTGTGTGGCCCGGAATAACCATCATAAGTAATGGCATGGGTTGGCACAGGCTCTGGTATGAGTGGGCAGTGAAAGGGGTAGTGCCCAGGGCTCGGGTAGATTAACCATAATGTGTTTGTATTTGCAAAACAACAACAAAACTACTGAACAGAATATTATTAATATTATTAAAACTAGATTAAAATCAAATGTAAATTTATCATGTAATTACCGATAATCATATAACCCGTGATTATCACTTTTGGACACCACTAGTCTGTCTTTATGTGTGATTTCATTGCAAATGATATTTAATGATATCATCAGAAAAATTCGTTGCGATTTTAATCAGGATTTATATTATTTAATGACAAATAATATAATATATATGAAGATTGGCTTTAATTAAACTTATATTTATTGGCGCATAACATAGAGAGCCATATGTGATGCCGAGAGAGAGAGAAAGAGAGAGAGAGAGACCATTGAGAGGATGGAGAGATATTGGGAGCGAAAGAGAGAATAAATAAATAAACTATTTATAGATTGAAAGCTTGAGTTATATTAGATATACAGTGAATGTGAAGAGCGATAGTTAGTTAGAGTTGTATCTGCAGTACAAACCATATTATATAAGAGATGGTTAAGACATTCGCAATACTTTGGGCCAAAGACCTCGTTTTTTATCATCATGTAATTAAGATAAATAGCCCGTATATGTATGCCATCAGCTCTCATGCCATACGGACACTACTGTCCACTACTTGCCAGTGCCAGCGATGGCCACGACATACGAGTACTTCACTACAGTATGTGTACAGTATTTTTTTGCTACTAATTAGTGTACGAGAAATAATAGTTTTGCTTAACTTAATTAACAACTACTTACAAAAGCAATATACAAATTACATAAGATATTTGCCATACAATGTACAATAAAATTATAGTATTAATTATAACCATTAATGTTGTGTATATAATATCTAAAATAGGCTGTATATTCACAAGGAATGTCCGGTTTGTTAAATAAAGACATTTATATAAAGGGAGAGAAAAATTGCATCAAAGATATTGCGAGAGAGAGATTTGAGAGACAGCCACCAAAATTACATCTCTCTCTCTCTCTCTCTCTCTCTCTCTCTCTCTCTCCATCCCTGACCCACACATCACAAACCATCACAACCTCTACAAGCATTTTGTGTGCAAATTCTTTGGCACATAATATATACGGCGATCTCCCCTGAGATGACCGGAGAGATGAGATGCCCGGGCGATGGCTGGAGAGGCAAAGAGCTCTGGGAACTGACCGTAACGGTGATGATTGGAGAGAGAGAGAGAGAGAGAGAGAGAGAGAGAGAGAGNCCGTAACGGTGATGATTGCAGAGAGAGAGAGAGAGAGAGAGAGAGAGAGAGAGAGAGAGAGAGAGAGAAATAATAATAGCGCCACCATTAGTAGCCTCACAAAACCCCACACTTGAAAACATTGGTGTCTATTATTTGCCTCAAATTGTAGGCAAAAACAAAACAATAAGAGAAAAACACATTAAGTTTGTGTTATATTTAGTCTTTTTGTTGTTATATTTTGTTAGTTTCGGCTCTCATTTAATTCTTGTCTCAAACCAGCAAAAAAAACCTCAACCGATATATACAGTGTGTCTAACGTGTAATTGTTATATCAAACACATATCCAAACAATTGGATACATACTGTATATTGAGAGAGAACTGAGAGAGAGAGAGGGAGAGAGAGAGAGAGAGAGAGAGAGAGAGAATAGGCACAGAATATTCTGTGTTGTCATTCACTACTAATTAAATTCTGCGATAATAATAATTATGGAAATTATTGTTAATTAAATTATTATATTCCGCGCGGCTATCACTGCACATACCATAAGTTGTTTGATCTTTGTTATTCTTATATAAACACATAATTATAGTCATTATTATTATTACTACTAATTGTAATGTCAATTGTGTAACAACTAATACCGAGTGCAAACTTCTATCCCAATTTTTCCCATGTGATCGGAAATCTATGGTATAATTGAAACAACAAATACTGATAGATATAATTGCATTGTTTATACATAGCATGAAAACTATGCGGTAATTGGCATGAAATGAACCAAGAGTTACAAAAATCAGAAATGTAAAAATAGCTTTATTATGTAAAACATGGGCTAAAACACGGGGTAAAACACATACTGTTATAGTTTCTCAGGAAAGGGGTGTTTGGGAAACATAAATATACAATGATTTTCACTCTGTTTAGTATTTTTCAACACAAAGTAAAACACATAAAAAATAATAACCAATAAAATTATATGAAAGTCATAAAATGTTGTTGTGTTTAAAACTCTAGAGATTTTTATTTGTATTATAGTTTTGGGGCCAAAAATTTTGTGTTAAATCGTGTGAAACATCAAAATTGTATCTAATTTTAAGAGTTTTAATACACATTTTGTACCGAAAATACATGTTATGTTGTAATATATATTTATAAAATTGTTGGCTTTAAAAAAATATTCTGTAATTATAAGTATATTTCAAAAATTATTACTCTTTCGCACCGATTATAGCGACAAAAAACATCGAAAAATATTTCGTTACAAAACAGAAAAAAACTTAATTAATGAGAAGTAAATCAAAAAACAAAAACAAAATTAATGAATAAATTTATACTTAAAATATATTCTCACATATTTGTTGAGAAAAATATCGTATAATTAATGAATGAATACTTAAAATATAATAACAAAATAATATGAGAGAGAGAGAGAGAGAGAGAGAGATGACATTTAGGGTATGTGTATGATATGTATGAACACATGAACACTGGCCTCGAGTTCAAAATGTTGTGCTAAAGACCTGAACCACAAACCAAACCAAATGATTGGTTAATAGATTTTTTGTGTGTTCACTAATATATGGTTTAAAATCATAGCAAATATGTTTTTGATAGTATAGGAGTCGGAATTGATTTTTTGTTTTTGTTTGCATTTGTATTTCGGTTCTTCTTATTAAAAGATAAGTTCACTAAACAGTAATTTATTGTAAAGATTATTATCATTATTATATTAAAGGGTTTTATTTGTAGTTTTAATGATTCAATTAATTGTTATTTAAATGATTATAAATTGATGCATAATTTGCATAAAATATGAATTAATCAAGAAATTAATAATTTTGTACAAAAAATAAAAACGTTTGCAAAACAAATGGGAGAAAACTATTGCTTTCAACATCTTATGAGAAACCGTTTGAATGTCCGGACGAGTTGTCGAAGTGATCGTTTGATTTGGTCACCACTTGTTTGACCCGCTTTTTCGGTCGACCCCTTCCTCTTTTCACTGATCCGGTGAACGGTTTCTTCACAGCATTCACACCACAAGAGCTCTTCCAATATCTTCTCCTTATGGGAAGACTAGGCGTCAGAAACCAATGAGACATTTGTTGATTCAATGATTTTAAGGCGAGTTTTGTTTGCAAAACGGTTTCTTCACAGCATTCACACCACAAGAGCTCTTCCAATATCTTCTCCTTATGGGAAGACTAGGCGTCAGAAACCAATGAGACATTTGTTGATTCAATGATTTTAAGGCGAGTTTTGTTTGCAAATCAAAGTACTCTTTGGAGTTCTTTCTGCAAAGACCTAACAGTTTCGTAAAGATTAGCTTCTCTTCGGTGATGGGCTCGACGTGTGTCGTCGGCGCCGGTATTTCACACCAATCATCGCTGGCGTCCGATAGGATAGGTGTGAGTGTCGGACACTCAACGGCTCTCAATATAATCACATTCGAGGCACTGATTGAATGAAATCATTAGCAAAACTACAAAACCAATAAACAAATTAATCTAAAAAACCTCTTAATTTTAAAATTCTTTGGCTTTCGATTAACAGCCACTCGTTTAACGGCCACTCGTTTATTAACCCACGGATCAAACTTATAGCCTATCAATCAAATAGTTAGCAAATCTTTCGCAACAATAGGAAGAATGGATGCAAACCTGGATTATCCTTAAGATGTTGTCTGTAAATAACTGCCGCTCTTTCGATATACTCTTCCTTTTGTTTGGCCTCTAATTGTGCCCAAAGAGTGCCCAATAATCGGCTCACTTCTCGATTACCGAGAGTCGGGTTTTCGAGTGAAAGTCTTTTCCGGTTTTCATTACTGAACAGAAAGAATGGATTGAGAGGTCGTCTGACCCGCGATTGGCTCTTCTTCTTAATAGTTTTCTCCATTTGTCTAGATTACCGAGAGTCGGGTTTTCGAGTGAAAGTCTTTTTCGGTTTTCATTACTGAACAGAAAGAATGGATTGAGAGGTCGTCTGACCCGCGATTGGCTCTTCTTCTTAATAGTTTTCTCCATTTGTCTTAACGTTTAATTTGTGTCCGAATTAAGAAATGAATTGATTTAAGTGTTGATTACAAATGAATTTAGTTTTAGTGTTTAAATGTTATAATTTGAATGTAAATTAACGTTTTATTGTAATATAAGTCAATAATGAATTATTGTATTCATAGAAACTAATAATGTATTAAATTTCAAAATAATGCGGCCTATTATAAAAATAATGTGTTTCGCGCTGTAATTAAGTGTACATTTAATTGTTTGATACAAAGTATTGCCATTTGATGTAGACTTGCCATTAATTGTCTTCTTGTTATTAATAAACTTATTTACAAGAATTTCCAATAAATGGCTGATAAAAAGATATTACGGTAAATCTAATCAATAAAACAGTCTCCAAAAGTATTCATATATTTTATACAAATCTGTAATAAAGTTATGTATTATTAATAGTTATTTCAATTAAATACAAACGTTTAAAATGTTTAAAATATCATTTTTATTATACAATATTTGTAAAGATTATACAATTGTTTGGACGGAAAGTTAGGTTTTATTTTGAATGACAAAAACCCCTTATTTGATGAATTGATATTGAATTACATTAAAAAATGTATAACTTTTTAATATTTGATATTAAATAAGTAATCGTCAAAAATGAAAGTCTATTTGCATTAATAAAACCCCTCTTTTCATAACAAAATGTAATATAAATTTTTTCGTATAATTCTAATGAAGAATACCATCTGAAGAGCTCAACACACATCACAGTCTC